CCCAAAACGTCAGCCTTCCTGCTCCTCTGATGCTGCTTGGCCTGCTGGGTTCATCCAGCTCTACACCTTGTTATCTCTGATGATCCAACTGGTCCATTTCTCTGGTATAAATGTCAATGATTTCAATAAAGCAGATCACATCAAAGTGACACTGTGGAAGAGACTATTCTTGAATGGTGCTAGCAAAGGTGGTCAAGTCCGAAAAGAATCCGGGCACTGGTAACACTGAATTCATGGTGTCTTTATAGAATAAAAGCATAAAGTTTATTGGATTCCATTCTCTGGAAATGTTATCAAAATAATAAAAGCCTTGACAATTACTTCGTTCAGAGCAAACTTACACAGGCAATGGCCTGTTCCACTGTCAGTCAGGCAACTACTTGCAGGTTTACTCTCTGCACAGACTGGGAGTCTCCAGCCTCTTTCATTCGGATATTGGGGCTGGAGTAACTTACAATATATTCTGGGTACTCGAACATGTAGGTCATGCTGCACCTGTTCTCTTCGTACACAAACAACACGTCCCATACTCCGAGCCCCACTAAAGCCAGTGCAAAGCCCTGAAATACTGCGGGTAACCATATCAACCTCTCAGCCGCCATCGCCGCCCTCCCGACACCACCGGGGCGACCTAACCTGCTAACACGCCGGACAGCGGGGCCTCGCCTGATTGGTGGAGGATGCCGTCAATCAGGTGTGCGGTGCCGAATCAGTGGACGGGGACGGCTATCACGTTAGGTTGACCCCGCAGAGCGGCGTGGAGACGTCATGACGCCAGAGAGGGCACGACCTGCCCCTTTGGTCTGAAAACAACCAAATGCTGAAGGAAGAGACAAGGTGCAGAGCTGGATGAACAGATTCTCCAGCTTCTGCAGTTCCTACTATCTTTGATACAAATGCTGAAGGTCACAGTGGGTGAGGCAGCATGCATGGAGGGAGAGAGCAAGCTAATGTTTCAGGTCTGGATGACTTCATCAGAGCTGAAGTGGTGTGGAGGAGACAGCATTTATGCATTAGTTTGGGGAGAGGGGGGTAGTATGTTCATAGTGGGGGTAGGATGTTGGTGGAGAAGAAATGTTGATAGTTCAGGCTAAGTGATGGGAATATGAGAATGGCAGAACAATGGTGTGTCTAAGTGCCAGACTTGAAAGGATAGTATCTGGGATGGGGGGAGGGAGGGACATGATAACAAGCTAAAGGAAAGTGAAGAAATGGTTAACAATTTAAAGGTGTTGAACTCAGTATAAGTTCAGAAGGCTGTAAAGTGCCTAGTTGGAAGATGAGATGTTATTCCTCCAGTTTGGGCTGTGATTCACTGGAACACTGCAGCACGCCAAGGACAGACAGAGGGCATGCGAGCAGGACACTGTGTAAAAATGACCAGCTACAGGAAGGCCGGGATCCTGCTTGCACACAGAGCGGAGGTGTTCCACAAAGTGGTCACCCAGTCTGCGTTTGGTTTCTCCAATGTAGTGTAGGCCACATTGGGTGCAGCAAATACAACACAAGATTGGAGGAGGTACAGGTGAAATGCCACTTCACCTGGAAAGACTGTTTAGGCCCACTATGGTTGAAAGGGCACTCAACCACATCTGACCCATCATCTGTGGTTTCACCTTTGCCCCTTCCCATCACTCACAACAGGGTGATTGGATTCCCTTTATCCTTAGTTTTCATCCCACCAGCCTCTGCATTCATAGGATTATTCTCTGCCATTTCAGACAACTCCAGCAGAACACCACCACAAAACGCATCTTTCCCTCATGCCCGCTGTCTGCATTTCACAGGGATCGTTCCCTTTGGGACACCCTAGTGCATTCCACAACCACCAACCCCCTCTCTACTGCACCTTCCCACGTAACTGCAGAAGGTGCAACACCTGCTTCTTCATCACTTCCCTGCTAACCATCCAACGGCCTAAACAGTCTTTCCAGGTGAAGCGGCATTTCACCTGTACCTCCTCCAATCTTGTGTACTGTATTCGCTGCACCCAATATGACCTACTCTACGTTGAAGAAACCAAATGCAGACTGGGTGACCGCTTTGTGGAACATCTCCGCTCTGTGCACAAGCAGGATCCCAGCCTTCCCGTAGCCGGTCATTTTAACACAGTGTCCTGCTCGCGTGCCCTCTGTCTGTCCTCGGCGTGCTGCAGTGTTCCAAAGAATCACAGCGCAAACTGGATGAACAACATCTCATCTTCAGACTAGGCACTTTACAGCCTTCTGGACTTCGAGTTCAACACCTTTAAACTGTGAATCATTTCTTCACTTTAGCTTCTCATCATGTCCCTCCTTCCCCCCCCCATCCCAGTTACTATCCTTTCAAGTCTGGCAGTTAGACACACCATTGTTCTGCTATTCTCACATTCTCATCACTTAACCTGAACTGTCAACATTTCTTCTCCACCAGCATCCTCCACCCACTCCCCTCTCCCCAAACTAATGCATAAATGCTGTCCCCTCCACATTTCACCTCTGATGAAGAATCATCTAGACTTGAAATGTTAGCTTGCTCTCTCTCCATGGATGCTGTCTGACCCGCTGTGATCTCCAGCATTTGTTGTTTTCGGTATAGATTCCAGCATCTACAGTAATTTGTTCCTTTCCTTTGGTCTGCCATTTTGGTAAGGTCACCCCTGGTTAAAGGGTTAATGACAGGGGATTTCCTACAAGTGTCATACTACCTCAAATTTAACAAATCAGATAGATTGAACTGGTGTTATCAATATAAAGCTATGTTTAAAGATTTGAGAGTATGCCTTAATTGACTAATGTTGTTCATGTGGAGCTTCACTGTATAAAATAACTTGCCATGCAGTGTATGACACTGGACGTCCTAAAGGCTCAACAGTCAATGATGTACTTTTGTAATATTGTAATGTAAGAAATGTGACAGCTAGTGTCCACAACAAGTTCCCAAAATCTGCAGTAGTTTGAGGATGAGCAGATAAGTTTATGTGTGACATTGATGGATTAAAACATTGTCCAGAACACAGGAAATAACTCCCCTGCTCTATGGTGCCATGGATGAGTTTGCGACCACCTGAGAGGGCAAACAGCTTATCAGTTTAACATCTGGAAATGCTACACCAGGACGAACAACTCGTATAAGGGGCAGAGATAACACAGTGTGGAGCTGGAGGAACACAGCAGGCCAGGCAGCATCAGAGGAGCAGGAGAGTTGATGTTTCAGGTCTGGACCCCTCATATAACGGGCATTTTGGCTGAGGTAGATGAGTGTGTAGGCAAAGGTCAGAGGGATCTTACTGTGTGTCCCCACAGGTCACTTAATATAGTGGGCTGGATAGATAAAGTGGTTAAGAAGACATATGGGACACTGACCTTTATTAACTGATGCAGAGAGTTTTAAGAGCAGGGAGGTTATGCTAAAACAATATGAAAAGTTGGTTAAACCACAACTAGAGTATTGTGTGCATTTCTGGAATTCACGTTATAGGAAGGATGTGTTTGCATTGGAGGGGGTGCAGAGGAGATTTGCCAGGAAATTTACTAGTTCTGAGGAAGGGTCACCGGACCCGAAACATTAACTCTGATTTTTCTTCACAGATGCTGCCAGACCTGCTGAGCTTTGCTAATGACTTCTGTTTTTGTTTGAGATTTACCAGGATGCTGCCTGGACTGGAGAGTTTTAGTTATGAAGAGAGATTGGATAGACTAAGGTCATTTTCCTTGAAGTAGAGGAGATGGGGGTCATGTTTGATATGTTTTAAATTATGAGGGGCTTATATAGGGTCGACAGGGATGAACTTTTCCCTTTGGTGGAGGGATCAGTGGCAGGGGGGCATAGATTTAAGGTAAGGGGCAGGAGGTTTAGCAGAGATGAGGGGAATAATTTTTTTTCACTCAAAGGTGGTGGGGATTTGAAGGTCACTGCATGTAAGAGCAGTAGAGGCAGAAACCTTCGTAACATTTAAGAAGTATTTAGGTGCATATTTGTGATGCCAAGTTTACAAGGCCAAGGGCCAAGTGATGTAAAATGGGATTAGAATAGTAAGGTGCTTGTTTTTGACCAGTGCAGACTCAATGGACTATTTTTGGTGCTGTAGACATCTATGAGTGCTGGTAACCAATCATGGAGGGAAGGGTGTACTGGTTACCATATGTGGGAGGTGGGTGTTGGGTAGCTGTTGCTTTAACAAACTTCCAAAGCAATGCCTCTCAGGTTATGATATTTAATGCATTATACAACTAAGCATCTAAAATAGATATAAAACATATTATTTAATATTTCATATTGACTTTCAGATAAGCTTGCATTGACAGAAAACTCAATGAAGTTCTCAGACCAGTTTCCTGGACCAGAATGGCTACGTATGTGCCCTGCTGAACACTGTCCTTTATAAAAGTGGGAGACATGTACCTGCTGTACTCCATATAGTCTCCTACAAAAACAGTGACTGTGCACGCACCCTGCTGTACATCATTCCTTTTAAAAATGACAGCCATGCATTTCTCTCTTTGAGGCTCTAATTCACCATGACCTTAGTGGTCAACATCAATAGTGTGGCTGTGCAAATAACTAGAAATGTAGAACAAATACAGTCCACAGGAATAAGCAATATGGGACTTGAAATAGTGAACAAAATTACAGAACAATCCTGTAAGAAACAACAGTTAGCCTCATTGGGTATGGTCAACCATGTCAAAGGCTACAGACAATTGAGAAGGATGAGGAGAGGATGCTTACCTTGGTCAGTCACATAGAATGTCAATTTCAGTACTATGGCAGTCTGGAAACCTGATTGGAGGGATGTAAACATGGAATTCCAGAAAAACTTAGAATAGATTTGTGAGGCAACAGCGACAATAGAACCAAGGCTTGCAGTTCTGACAGCAGATTTAAAGGAGAAAGGCAGTACACCTTCAGGGAAACATACGTAACTTGGGGACCAGGAATTGGTTGGTTATCAGTTTAATAGGAATAGGGACAAGGGAATAGGAGGCGAGAGTCATGGATCAAGCTTAGAGAGAGCATGAGTGAAGATAGGAGAGAAAGTAGGCAAAGACAGGTGTTCAGAACTTGAATAGAAGAAACCTTAGCAGGCTATACTCCTCTGAGCTAATGGAAGGGAAGGTGCAGCAAAGGCAGGTGGTAAAATGTTCTCAGTCTTAGAGATGAAGAGGTTCATGAGCTTTTTGCATTTATAGTTGGAGATGAGGATGGAAGAGTTTTATTAGGATTGTTTCAATGGAAAATAAGTAACCAGGAGATATCTTTGCATTCTAGAATCATCTTGGAATAGTGTGCAATCTTAGCACAAAAAGCAGGACTGTAAACTGGCCTAGGGGAGGCAATGGCCTAGTAGTATAATTGCTGGACCGTTAATCCAGAGACCCAGGTGATGTTCTGGGAACTTGGGTTCAAATCCCGCTGTGGCAGGTAAGTACCTGGAATTATGAGTCTAATGATGACGGTTAATCCATTGCCGATTGTTGGAAAAACCCATTTGGTTCACTAATGTCCTTTAGGGAAGGCAACTGCCATCCTTACATGGTCTGACCTACATATGACTCCAGACCCACAGCAATGTGGTTGACTCATAGCTGCCCTCTGGGCAATTAGTGATGGGCAATAAATGCTGGCCTAGCCATGGACACCCTCATCCCA